AAAAAATACAAATCCACCTCAGCCTTGCATGCCCTCTCTGTCCCTTTTGGTTTTAGTCTGGAATCCCAGCTACCTTATATTTAGAAAAGATAAGATAATTTGTTCCACCCGCAAACACTCCTTCAGAGTTCCCCCATCAGTATCTTTAGAACTTGATCTCATCACCTGCCATGAGGCTCATTCACTTGAGCCAGAGAAGACAAACGGGATGCTGACCAGAACAAGGAAGGACAGAATCCGTGGCATCCTTGGTAGCTCTTGTGGGCTACATTTTCTTGTTTCTAAAGTGTAAAAACCTACAACAGCAGCAGGCTAACATGGTTGTCATTTAGCAAATTACTTCTGTTTCTTTAATTCATTTAATATTTGTTTGTTATTCTTACTATTTCTAAGCACCATTCTTATTTTTCTGTGTAATTGTGGACCAGGTGGTCAATACTGGACTAGAAATACTACTGATTTATCGACTTATTTGTGTTCTTTTTGATGCAAGGACCAAGCTGTTATCTCTCCCCCCACCCCAGCGGTGCTGTCCTCCTTCAATCTCTTGAAAGGAATAGCCTACAATTTTTTAAAGTAATAATGCAAGTAAAAGGGATTTGTTAGATACGAAGTCTTTCAATCTTTTATGACTCTGATTAGTCTTCAGATCATGAACATCTGATTACACTTAATATGTAAGGCATCCCCCTCCCCCGGCTTATCAGTGGTGATTTGACAAGTTCCATGCTGTGTCTTCATCTGGCATCTGTACCAGCAGACGGTCTTGTCAACATAATGCTACAAAGTGTCCATATGTTGGCATATTGGTAATCTCCTCAGGTGTACTCAGTCATAGATTTCCCTCCTCAGATACTGCTGATTAGCATTTTGTCAAAGTTCCATGTTTGTCATTGAACTGTTGTTTGCCATCACTTTCCTTTATAGAGACTAGCCTGGATAGATTTAAAAATATGATTTTTAACATTTTGTTTTCGATTTTTAAAACATCAATTATATTATCTTTCAAACTAGCCTTCATTTTAAAATGAAATATAAATGTACTACAATATAAATGTTTTAAAGTCTTCTCTCAGTCCCTTTAAACTGAACTGATGACATCTTATCAAACAAAGTTAAAGCCTATTTTCCAGGCAAGTAAATGAACCAGAAGTAAATATTTGGTGACTTTTGACATCAGGCATTCTCAATATGGCAAGAGATCATACGTTGTATAAAGGCATGGTCAGAACTTGTGGACATTTACTGGAGCTGAATGTTGGGGGAGAGTCAGGATAGATAAAAGAAAGTACTTCTTCATACAGTTCATAGATAAACTATGGAATTCACTCCTATAGAAGGAAGCGATAGCCACCAACCTAGATGGCTTTAAAAGAGGATTAAACAAATTCATGAAGAACAGCCATGGTGGCTATGCTATGCCTTGACAGCTGGAGGCAGTTATGCTTCTGAATACAGTTGCTGGGAATTGCAGATGGGCAGCGTGCTGTTGCGCTCATCTCCAGCTTGCAGGTTTCCTACAGGCCTCTGGTGAGACTAGGATACTGGACCAGTTGCTCCTTTGGCTTGATCCAGCAGGGTCTTGCATTCTTACAAAGGTTCCACAGATACATTGGGCTCAAAAAATCTCATCTTCCAGAGCCAATCCACTTGATGCAATCATTTAAGCAGCAATTATTTTAAGCACATTTGGTGGACTTGGCCCCAAATAAAGTTGATAAATCAGATTATCACTCTGTCAACATTTTGAACCTCATTAACTATATACATCCTTCTCAAATTGTAAGGAATATAATACCAGAAATACATTATTTTGTAAGCAATTTCTTTTGCTTTAACACCAGTTATCCACAGCACCAACACACACGTTGGACCATTGCCTAGTAGAAACATTTAAAACAATTTCTGTTCATTTCATTTCATATGAATGCCCTATGAAAGGATATAAGTTTGTACATTTTTATTTATCTCTTTGGGAAGACAATTCCAACCATTTTTCTAATAGTTATTGGGGAAATTTTTGTACCTACCTGATTTTTGCAATATAGTTCTCAGCTAAAAAATACAAAAATGTCTTTTTAAAACCCACATATTATAGAGTTAAACATGTTCATAAATGGTATTAATAAATTTATTACCCACCCTTCAGCAGGTCCCTAAGCAGGTTGCATCAATTTAAAATTCAGAATTAAAAACAATTAAAACAAATTATTCACAGGAATAGGGTTATGCAAATATGGGGGTCCTGCTTCCTGTCTTGCAGGCCTTTTCCACCTGACCTAGGAGGACAGGGCCCTGACTGACTGCAGCTGCAAAAGCGGAGGCTGCTGAGGAGGCCAGTGACTATCTTGGCTGTGAGAACCTGCTTTAACTTATGTGTTTTTCAATACAGGGACTTCGTTGTTTTTAAACTGAAAGGTGTGGGATGTGCCCAATCACAGTGGTTCAAGGTAGGGTTGTGCCTCTGAAGACAGTTTGGAAACTTCAGCTGGTGCAAATTTGGTGACTGGGCTGCTCACTGGGGCATTTGTAGTTTTATGTTGCAAACCACCCTGTAATCTTCACATGAAGGGCAGTATACAAATTTAGTAAATAAAATAAAAATAAATAGAACAAGTTGCCTTTGCTTCCTCTTTCCTGCATCCTGTAGTTACACTCTGTGGGATGTATAGTGATTGTATTTTCTATTCATGCACTGACGTGTATGCCCTTAAACCAAATTGAGTCATTTTCCTGAGCCTTACAGAATTGACAAATGTACTAGTAGCAGGCTACTTATATGCAGAATTTTTAATCCCTTTCCTTTTCTGCTGCCTTTGAGATAATTCAGCACAAGAACTTCTTTAAATGTAAGTTGATTTGTGGGATTGCCAGATAGATTAAATCCTATTAAAATCATAGTTTTGCTTCTAAATGAAGCTTTCAAACACTACAGAAATAGCTCTTGTATTTCCATACAAATAACAGGTCTGATGGCCCAGAGCAATTATAAAGTTAGAATGGCAATATGTGTTGGAGTTGGCACGTTCTACACCAGCAAGGTCCTGTTGGACACCTGACATTAGCTCCTTTGCTAGCTTTTCTGAGTGGGTGGAAACAGATTGTCAGCAGGGAATCCCTTTGGACAGACAGGTCTTTGCTCCCAATGTGCATTAAGCAGATTCTATTTTTTGAGAATGCAAACTGATTTTAATAGCAGATTAGCTAGATATTTTTAAAAGAAACTGAAGACTTTTAGTGTTTCTACTTCATTGTAGTATGCTTTAGGCATCACCCTTCCTCTTCTACCCCAAATGCTATTAAAAAAAGAAAAAAATGGCTGCTCCTGCTTAACCAGCTTTCCAGGTACGCTTTTGACATGTTGGCTTCCATACAAGCCCATTTTTTCAGTCATGAGTATTCATTGCTGTTGTGCTGCTTGTTTTCTATCTATACCAATGGGTGAAGCTTGGTGGAACATGTCCATTTTTCATGCATTTTGTTTTCTGAGAAAACAATATGGATGTCTTACACAAGGGTGATAAGGCTTTGAAAGGCTGCAATCCTAAGCCTTATTAAATTCAGTAGGACTTTCTTCTGAGTAGATATTGTTAGGATTGCAGTGTAAGGCTTGCACAAGGACTCCTGCTTACTTTTTTTTTTTAAAATTAAAAGCCCAATATATGTCAAGGCTGGAGTCAGATGCAGGTCAGAATGAAGAGGCAGAGGCAGTTGTCAATGAAGTTAGGTATTTATTCAAGGAAATAGTATGCAACTCAGAACACTTCCCAGCAGCTCTTGCTGCCATAGAGCAGTTGCCAGGACTGAGGATTTTCCCTCCCTCTGCACTGTTCTAAGTCTCCACCCCTAGATGTTGCACAAGCCGTCTCAAACCATGCCTATGCACATCAAGTCACTGTTCTGTTCTCATTATCCTGTGCATTCTTGGAGATCGGAGGGGAGGGGAGCTTGGCGCTGTAGGAGAGGGAGACTCCTAGGATTCTTCAGCAAACTCTTGACACACACACACCCCCCCTCTGCTTCAACCTCCGAGTCTGAAATGCTCCCTGCTATTGGCTCTCTTTGCTCACTGAAACCTGTTGCCCCTTCAGCATCTGACACCTCCCCACAATCTTCTCCCTCTGACTTCTCTGTGTTTCACCACCAATCTTCTGGCTCTGAGCTGTCCTCTTCTGGGGTTTCCCTTCAGGGTTCCCCAGGTGGTACCTACGACCACACTTATTCATTCAGCCAATCCCTGACAATTTGTGTACAGTGGTACCTCGGGTTAAGTACTTAATTCGTTCCGGAGGTCCGTACTTAACCTGAAACTGTTCTTAAGCTGAAGCACTACTTTAGCTAATGGTGCCGCTTGCTGCTGCCGCGCCGCCGGAGCACAATTTCTGTTCTCATCCTGAAGCAAAGTTCTTAACCTGAAGCACTTTCTGGATTAGAGGAGTCTCTAACCTGAAGCGTATGTAACCTGAAGCGTATGTAACCCGAGGTACCACTATACTGTGATGAGGCTCCAAGGTAATCCAGTAGGGAGAGTGGATGGTTGGGTACAGCTGCTTGAAGGCATCATAGGCAGATTGAACAGCAGTGTCCAACTATTGCTTGCCCATTTCTCCTGCTCTGGAGCAAAAAAGGCCTACAAGGAGAATTATTTTTTGGTGTGTTGGCCCTGTGGTCTTACCTTCTCCTTCCCAATCCCCCTTTTCTTTTGTTATGTCTTTCTGTTAAGACTTCTCTATTCCACAAGCTCAGAGCAGATTAGTGTAATTTTCCCCAATGCATTGCTCAGGTTGCTGAAGATTTAGAAAGCTGCTTTCATACAAAGAACATGGGATTAAATGTTATTTTTTTCCTTTGTTTTATTAGCCTGACTTTTCATCATATTTCAATGTTTGGGGAAGCAATATGCTTGCTATGCAAAAGAGTTGGGCCCCTCATGTTGTTCATTTCTTTACAGTTCCATTTTTAACATAGTGAATTCACGGATTTGGGTTTCTTATTTCCAGCATATGCAGATGACAATCCAAGCTCTTCAGGATGAGCTTAGGATCCAGAGGGACCTGAACCAGCTTTTTCAGCAAGACAGCAGCAGTCGATCCAGTGAGCACTTTGTGACAGAGCTTACAGAGGAGAACTTCCAACGGCTTCATGCAGAACATGAGCGCCAGGCCAAGGAACTTTTCTTGCTCCGCAAAACCTTGGAAGAAATGGAGCTGCGCATTGAGACGCAAAAGCAGACCTTAAATGCTCGTGATGAGTCCATCAAAAAGTTGTTGGAAATGTTGCAGAGCAAGGGGCTGTCAGCAAAAGCAACAGAGGAGGATCATGAGCGGACTAGACGGTTGGCCGAGGCAGAAATGCATGTGCACCACTTGGAAACCTTGCTGGAGCAGAAGGAAAAGGAGAACAATTTGCTAAGGGAGGTGAGTTGGGTTTCACCCAAAGAGATTCTGTTCTACTGTCTAACCTTATTACTTGCAGTTCAGACTTCTATCTTGTCAGCCCATGTTTACTTGAAATAATTAGCTCTTAATAGTTTTGATTTTAATTAATTTCTATTAAATTAATTTTATTTTATTTTTAAGAAAAATATTTTTATTAAAGATTTTATTTGGTTACAAAAATACATACATAGTCTCTATTTCCAGATCATAAAATCCTTTCTGCAGATTAGTTCTATTTGATGTGAGATGTTGACGTATACAGTATAAGGTTGGGGGGAAAGAGAGGTGGGAAGGGTCTATTTAATTAAAAAGGATAAAAAAGGAAGAACAACAATTTAAAATATTATGAAAATACACAGTAACATTAAAAAAATGCATTAATGCAAAGTTACTAATATATATATATATCAATTTCAGTTCATTTCCCTTCTGACACACCCTCCCTCTCAGCCTCCTGGTTCTCACCTGAGGGTCCAAACTCTCAGCTCACCCACAAGTCTCACATCAAGAAGAGTTCCTGGAAACAGCAGGCATCACCCTAGTCTCTTACTCTAGACTTGCTTTTTCTAGGCAGTCCCAAGGTGGATGCTAATTCCTCAGGCTGCTCCCAGCTATATCCCATTCAGCTGCACTCTCTTCACCCAATTCCAGATGCAGCAGATTTATTGAGTGTCCCTGGGGTTCCAGCGGATGGGAAAAGAGCCCCCCTCCACTCACAACCCTTTCTTCACCCTATTTTCTATCCTACCTCTCCAGATGCTTTACTGCTCCATGGCAGGGCTTGCTAGTTCACTTTCCATCCTTGGCATAAGCTGTGTAATTAAAAACTATAATGGTTTTGGATGTTCCTTATGCCCCTCTGTTAAAGCATATAGTACAATTGATGATGCTGTATAAAATGTATAGAAACTGACAATTACTTAATTGTAGATTTGCTTTCTGTGTATGTTAGGGGTGGCTGAGCTGTGAACCTCCAGAAGTTTTTGGATTCTCATTTCCCATCAGCCCCAGTCAATATGGCCAGTGGTTGGGAATGATAAGAGTTGTAGTCTAGCTACACATAATTCCATTTGGACCAAAGTGTACTCAGTACAAGATCCAGTATATTCTTCGTGTGTGGATGTGTGTGTGCAAACGACTTGGATGTTTCTGGCAGTAATATAAAAGTAGTAAAGCTCCTTCCACAATAGCTAGAAAGCTAACATTTGAAATGTTGGGCTTTGGAGATCCACACACTTCTAGACCTGGACTTCAGGAGAGTAGATTTGTAGTAGCACCCAAGAACATAAGTCTAGATCAGACATACATGGTTGGAACTTGGTCTTCATGTACTTTACAATCCTCTGATGGGGGAGGGAGAATCACCAGTGACAGCCAGGAACTTGTGCTTGCAAAATGGCAAGCTGTATTTATTCTCTCTCTGTGTGTGTAAATACTACTTGTGTAACCATCTGAGGATGCTGCTATATATTAGTCCTGTGTGTTTGTGTGTAGTTTCATTAATAAGCTGTAAATGAGCATCTACCTGTGTATAGAAGAATAAGGAGAAATCTTGGCAGCAGTAATGAATGGTTGCTCTGCCATTTCCATGGAAACAGCCACTTTGCTATGAAGGTTATTTGAAGAAATCATTTGCTGCCTTGGTTGCATAGTCCAAAACACACTATTTAAAGTGAAGAAGTATTGCACTTTGTAGTATTGTATTCTTTATAATTTTTTGATGTAAATAATTCATAAAGTAATAGCTAAATGTAGCTGAATAACTTTGGGCAATAAGCACTCCTGCTAAACAAAGAAGCGTAATATCGACTAGACTGTCACTGTCAGAAAGTAAGGTAGAAAGCGATGTGTGTGGTCTGATGAAGGAATAAAGGACTAGGTTGATACACTAGTGTTCACACGTTCAGATTCAACTGAAAACTGAGCACAATAGAAAGTTTTTTTTCATCCTAATATTTGTTAAACATAACTGTTGTTGTGTCCTATGATGCTCAGAGCTCCACTGCATATGTGCAAATTTTAGGTAGCTTGGTGAAGGAAATTTCAAGTAGGGTCTTTTGAGCAGGTATTAAAGGGTGGGTGGTAGGGACAATATATGAAGAAGGGCACTTCATATTAGCAGAATGCAAGCACCTTGAATTAGACCCAGTAAACAGGTGGTCAGTACAACTGTCACAAAAGCAAGCGGATGTTTCCTTGTCGCCTTGTGTGTCTCAGCAGCTGAGCTTCCATGACAGAAGTTCTGAACACTTTTTCAAGGGCAGCACAAGCATTAATTGAATCTGCGGAAAACAATTATCAGTATATTAATGACACCACATTACTAACAATTTTGGAAGCTCCAAATAAATATTGAACTTATTTTAGTACGTTTTCTCTTCCAGTTAACTCTTCTTTTTGGGGGGGGGTGAGGGGGAGATACTTTGGTACAATCAGCATTAAGTCCAAAGAGCATCAGGTTTGTCTTTCCTGCAAACGTATTCAGCGTCCAGAAGATGGTGGTGTATTGCCTACAGCCTCCCACCTTGTTGCTGCTGTTATAGAGGAATAATGTTTGACCTTGCTTAAGGCAAATGCAGGTTTAGTGGGAAACTATCCTGTAGAATATGATTAGAAATGCCCTCCAAATATTTTAATGATTACTTTTATAATAAGGATATATTTAATTTTACTGGCTCTTCTTTGTTGCTTGAAATTCTTTTAGAAGCTGTTCTTCTCAGGACAATTAATTATACTTTTAATTAGAGCTTTAATTATGGCTTAGCTCCTTCAATGTGAAGTCTGTTATCAAATTACAGGATTTTAATCTAGATTTTCTTTGTTATGCAGTGCACATAGAAACCTTTGGGTTAGCTAGAAGTTCCTCACACATGGGATTTTGCAGCCTGAAAACAGATTAATTATATGGTAGATGCCAAAGCCTTCCATTTTTTATTCTTCTTCAAGTTCAACATTATTGCTGCTTCCTTTACTCTGATTAATAAATACAGTACAAATCATGAACTCCTATTTGCTCACATTCACCCAAGCTTACTGAAATGGGATGAGGAAATCTCAGCATTTGTTTATATGTACCATATTTTTCACTCCATAAGACACACTTTTTTCCTCCTAAAAAGTAAGGGGAAATGTCTGTGCATCTTATGGAGCAAATGCATGATTCGTGGAGCCGGATTGCCCAGGAGCAAAAAGCAGATTGTGCTTTTTTTTTTTTTAGAAAGAGGGAAGGGGGTGTTGAAACAAAGCCGCTGAGCAGCTGATTGGCAAGCGATCAGAGGGAGATAAGGGACTCTAGCGATAAAGGAGGCTGCCTGGGAGGGGGGAGGTAAAGACAGCGAACTTGCAAGGAGAGGAGACAGGAAAACAAGCAATGAGGAAAGAAATTAGAAGAAAAGGAGGAGCAAAAAAACTGTTCCAGCTAAGGAAAAGACACTAAGGCAAACAAGAGGGAAGGGGGTGTTGAAAGGAAGCTGCTGAGCAGCTGATCGGCAAGCGATCGGGGAGGGAGATAAGGGACTCTAGAGATAAAGGAGGCTGCCTGAGAAGGGGGATGTAAAAGCACATGGATCCTCAGGATTTTTGCATTGGGTCACCCCAAATTCACCATCAGATCACATAGCATGTGTGTGGCCACAGCATGAACAACAAAAATCATACATCCACTGTTTCGTTCAGAATATTTTTTTTCTTGTTTTCCTCTAAAAACTAGGTGCGTCTTATGGTCAGGTGCGTCTTACGGAGCGAAAATACAGCAGTATTTGAAATCTGTAGAAATTTTATATTGATAACCATTGTTAGATTGCCACGTAAGAAAGAAGGGACATGATGGAACTTCAATGCTTGTTCCAAGAATTTAAAAAGGAGATAGGGCTTTCTGAAATAAGGGGCATCATTAAATTGCTGTGGATTGGGTTTCCTCACATTTCTCTCTCCCTTAAAATAAGCTGCTGTTTAGTTTCTTCAAGCTACCTGCAAATTGCTAAATTGAAATACTGTAATACTTGGAATTGAAATGCTGCAGCTGGAGGAGGAAAGGGCAGAGGATGAAGAGAGAGCTGTGAGCGGAGGGGGGTCCTTTTCCCATCCTTTGGACCCTCTGGGAACCCCCCTGAGTTTGTTGGACCCTCCCTGAGGCTGAGAAGGAGGGTGTGCCAGAAGAAAAATGAACGAATATTGATTTATATCTACATTAGTAACTTCGTATCAATGTAACATTTTTATATGTAACTGTGCATTTTGTAATATTTTGTTTAACTTCCTGTTGTTGCTCCAGTTTTGTGTACACCACAGAGATAGTTTTAATATATTAAGTGGTATAGAAATTAAATAATTGATATTATAATTGTTCTCTTCTGAATGTAATGGCTTTGTTCATCTTCTTACATCAAGACTGGACCAAAAAGGGGTTTGGCAAAGTTTAGGATCATTGGTATAGTTGCTTTACACCTCTTACACCATTTGTTTTGATAGTCTAATTGACCTTAATTTTACCTTAATCTTTTTAATGAAAACATTTGGATTAATCAGACTCCACATTTAAAAACATAATTTCCATTTATGTATAGATAGACATTTTACAAATGACAGTTGACTACTTGAACAGTAAAAGAAAAGTACTTTCAGAATTCCATCATTCTACAATATAATGCTGAGGACACATATATTCTACAGCTATCATCTTTTCCCGAAAGTAAGACATCCCCCGAAAATAAGACCTCCCCAATAATAAGGCCTCCCCGGAACATAGGGCCTCCCCAGAATATAAGGCCCCCGAAGCTACTGTAAGGCGTCTGACTCCTCTGGACCGTAGCAGCGGGCATCGCTGCGCAGCTCACTGATTGGCCGCAGCACAGCTGGAGCTGTTCAGGCAGTGCGATGTCTCTTTAAATCAGAGAGCCCACGCCACCGCCAGGACAAGCTGCCGCCTGCTGCTCGCTCTGCCCTGACGGAGTCTGTCTGACTCACAATTAGACAATAAATGTGTACCGTATTCTTCTTCATGGAAAAATAAGGCATCCCCTGAAAATAAGACCTAGCGCATCTTTGGGAGCAAAAATTAATATAAGACACTGTCTTATTTTCGGGGAAACAGAGTAACTACTAAAAGCTTTCAATGATGGCATTGCTGCCATGATTTGTTATCATCATTTCTATAGCAGATAGGACATCTGTCCATTTCTTTGTGTCTGGCTGAATAACCAGTGTGAGCTGAGCAACTCTTGAGTCTCTAGCTGTGTACAGCTGGGTATCTGCTTGTTTTGTTAGGGGCAAACAGAACTGCTATTGGGGAAAATATACATCCCACCAATTAGGCAAACCTTATTTGGCTATCAGCAAGCCCTGGAGGAGAAAATAGAAGGGAAAGCAAACAAATGAAAAAATGTCGACATGAAATGCTTGTGGTAAATAATGGAAGGGGTCCAATGTACCTCATCTAGTAAGCATCCCCCCCCCCCCCAAAGAACACTGTAAATAAGAAATCAGTGTTGCAAGATTGCACTATGAAAGTGTTACTTCCTATATCAAGATAAAGCCACTAAGGTAAAATTTACTTCTGGAGTACAATGAACCCCTGTAGCGTTATGTAAAGTTGGGGGGGGGTTAACATGCAGGAATGAACAGAAGCAGTATAAAAGCAGTATAAAAACTTACTCCAGTGCTCTTGAAATGTTGTAGCCATACATACACAAAGTGAAATTTATGGTACTGACAAAATGCTGAGTTATTTTCCACATCCTATTTTGAGAAGTTGCTGGGGAGAGAATTGACCCCATCTAATCTAAGCTTTCAGTAGTTTTAGCATCTCATTCATTTCTTTAAGGATATGTCAGACTGCTGATAGGGCTTAAAAGTCAACACAGATCAGCTGGTGATAACTTCAAGACATGCTAGGATCAACTGCACTCTAGATTTTCCAATAAAATGTTTTCATACTGGAAACACTAGTGTTATTTCACAGTTACAAAATCTAACGATAAAAATGAAAGCCAAAATAAAGGAAAGTAGCAGAACAGACAGATTACATGGAAGAGTGCTTCCTGATTCCTGCTGTTGCCAGGTTGGTGTCATGGGCGATCATAGGTGATGTCCTTTTCCACTGATGACACCTTTGTGTTCTGCTTCTGTTTGGAGACTCCTTTTAGTCATTGCAGGTAGCAAATGGGGGGGGGGGGCTTTGCTATGCTGCTCAGTTTGACCCAACTGCTGCAGGATTGCAGGCAAGCAGGCCACATTCCTGCCCTTGGTAATAAATGTCACGTGGCCCCTATAGAGCTAGTAGCTGGTGTGCTGCTCCGTAGCCATCTCTGGCAATGGTGCCAACAATAAGGTGTGTGGGCCTAGTTGCCAGAATTTCTGACACCTTGCACTGCCTTAATCCCTTGCTTCCTTAACTCCTGTGTATTATGTGTGGAAACTAATTACAAAAAACTGAAGGAAATACACTATAGTTGGCTTGTACTCTGTAAAATACAAAGAAGAATTGATTCTCTGGCACCATGCAGCCCTGCATTCAGCTTTTTTATGCTAGATGTGCTTATTCTGCGATACTTACAGAAATATAGGTGCTCACTTTTACACCCATTGCATGTTGACTGTTTTGATGAACAACCTAGTGAACGTTCTCTCATCCCTTGCTGTCTCTCTGGAGAAAGCTGTCGTCATCAGTAACTAGGTGGTTGCTACTCTGGGCGTGTAGGAGTATTATTGGCACAGATGCTTTATCAGCTTGTTAAGTACATACCAGATTGTTGCTGTTATTTATTAATCCTCTTTTTAAAAAGTATTTTTATCCTCCCACCAGAAGATAAAGTTTGAAAAGACCATATAAGGAATCATCTAGCTGAAAGGTATTGGGGTTTTTAAGTTGCTTCAGCTGCCTGCTGTTGAGTGTTAGTCGTTGGAAAGGCAGATGATTAATAACCATTTCACTTGTGTGTAGATTTATTTCAGTGGACTGTAGATGTCTGTTATTTGATGTGAAAGGTCATCCAAAATAGTTGGATAATGTTGCTCATACTCTTTTGAGTAAAGTCTGTTGTGCTTAGCCTTCTTGTATTTCTTTCTGTACAGGAAATGCATCGTCGTTTTGAAAATGCACCCGATTCCGCCAAGACTAAAGCTTTGCAGACTGTTATAGAGATGAAGGTAAGAATTCTACAGTTACATGAAAGAGGGGATGCCTATTCAGAACAAAGGGCATAATATTTCTTGTTCTTTTGCTATTCGGGTTTTTTAATTTAACCATAAGCAGCACACTGTGGTATATTAAACCACAGACATTCATTGACTACACAGGATATAGGATTTTTACAAAGAAGTTGATGAGCAGAATGTGTTGAGAACCCCTGTCCTTTCCATCTCGCTTGAGAGCAAAGCTGCAACACCTTTTCATCCAGCCAGATTACGGAAAATGCTCTTTGCTCTTCCTACTACTGCTGGAATATTTTCAGGGTGTTGGGGGTTCAAGTTTCAACACATGGAAGATTCTCCCTTCTTGTCTTTCTTCACTGACTGACAGTGTTCCTGTAGGAGGGCCTGTTTTTTGTTTTGCCATATTAGGGTGCTTTCACAATTTATGAAAAAGACTAATTTGCCCATTTTTCACTGTGTCTGAAGGATTCTAAAATATCTTCCATGGAGCGTGGACTCCGAGATTTGGAAGAAGAGATCCAGATGCTGAAGTCAAATGGAGCCCTCAGTACAGAGGAACGAGAGGAGGAAATGAAACAAATGGAGGTGTATCGTAGCCATTCCAAATTCATGAAAAACAAGGTAATGAGTGAACACTATCTATTAGGCAATGATATACTCCTCTAAGAAACTAATTAAACCAACTAATCACAAAGCAGATGTGGCACTTGCATTCCACCCTCTGTACTGGTGTATGTAGGTAAAGGTAAAGGGACCCCTGACTGTTAGGTCCAGTTGCGGACGACTCTGGGGTTGTGGTGCTCATCTCGCTTTATGGCAGAGGGAGCCGGCGTACAGTTTCTGGGTCATGTGGCCAGCATGACTAAGCCGCTTCTGGCAAACCAGAGCAGCACACGGAAACGCCGTTTACCTTCCCACCTATTTATCTACTTGCACTTTGACGTGCTTTCGAACAGCTAAGTTAGCAGGAGCAGGGACCAAGCAACGGGAGCTCACCCTGTTGTGGGGATTCGAACCACCGACTTTCTGATCGGCAAGCCCCAGGCTCTGTGGTTTAGACCACAGCGCCACCTGTGTCCTACTAGTGTATATACACACACTCAAATTGTTGAAATGGAGTTCCCTCATGATAATGAAATACAGTTAACTCTTTTTCATAATTTGAGTATTGTTCTTCAAACAGTAATTTTTATTTCATAAACTGATGTAGAAGCACTATCCAGTCTGTTCTTGGCAAAATTAATCACAATTAAATGCAACACAAAAGGGCAGTAGACCTCAAAAGGCCTGATTATTATTTTTAAAGGCGATCCAGTTATTGATCTACTGCATAATAATCAAATTAAAAACATTCTGCATAGTCTTCTTTCAAATTTATGTATTTTATTTTCAGCAGTGTTTGATACTTGGCTCTTTAAGCCGGTAATTTTTTTCTCAAATTGTTCTCAATTACAAGAGTTTGTCTCATTACCAAAGAACCGGTGGTGTGTTCTAGATAATGACATGCCATCTTTGTTGTTATATGTGCAATATTTCCTGCATGCAGCTTAGGAAGAAGTGTTTTATTTTAGAGATCCTGCCTTTTTGCCAGGGTGGAGGGTTTGGCAAGTGTTGAATCTTCTGGCTGTTTTTTTGCTACGATTTTCCTCCGTGCAGACTGTGGACATTTGACAGGAAAACATTCTAATGTAAAAGTAAGAGAATAATAATGTCGTGGCAGGTAGAGCAACTGAAGGAAGAGTTAAATGCCAAAGAGGCCCAAGGAGAGGAGCTGAAAAAGAGAGTGACTTCTCTCCAGACTGAGGTCTCTGCCGTAAGATTGACTTCTCTGTGTGCAGTGCCGCTTACTTGGGCTCTGCTGGCTTTCCGGGTAGCTTACTTTGCTTACCTTGCACTCTGCGGCTGTGAAAAGCGCTATAACTAACTATAAATCTGCATCTGTCTTTAGCTTACTTATGGTTGATATAAGTAACATCACAATCTATAATCTACTTCAAACACCCAATTTTCATGACTTGGGCTAAGGTGTCATGCTATATTTTTAGATTCTTTCAAAGTGCTTCAGATGCGTCTGAGATGCATGTACTGAGCTCTTGAAAATGCACAGTAAAATGTTATGACTTTGATTGTATTCGTAAACATTGTGTGAGATTAGGAGCAGAAATGCAGACCTTGTTAGGTCCTCATTTCCTGTCCTGCCTTGAAGTATGTGCTGCACATTTAATCTTAAAACATGTCTGGATTGCAAGTTTTTTGACTTGTTGATGTATTTGGCTTCAATTTCTAGGATGAAATGAAATAATATCTCTATGATAGACTCAACAGAGAAAATATTTTTCTACATGAAAACTGAGCTGTGATCTTACCCTGATTACAGGAGATTGTTTCTCTATTTAAATAAATCTGATTTGAAGATTGTATAAATGCATACATCTTTTTTTTAATGGGCTACCATGGTGCACCAGTGTATGAAAATATTTTGCAGTTAATGAAAAATAATGTAAGAGAACAGGGAGGGGACCCAACCCATTTTTGGCAAAAGTACACAACTCCCAATGTCCCTCTAAATCTATGCTTTAGGGTCCCATAGGGGGCGAGGAAACTGTTGGAAATTGCTTCCCTTCATGTTTTATTCATGGAAGTCTCACAGTCATCTGAGCGACACTGTTTACTACAATCTTAGGCCCTTGTACCTAAGTTAAAAGAATACAAGCTTTGCCTGCAGGTTCATAATCTAATACAGACAATGACCTGGATTTTACTTAACACTAAGTCATAGTTTGTTCAACAAATCATAGCTTGGTTTGCAAAGTTTGGTTTGTTTGCTAATTGCTCTTGTCTCATGCCTTTGGAGCTTGGTGAGTGTCTGAGGTGGCCAAACAAACCATTGTTAAGAAGGGTACTGGGTTCACATGCCATACCAATGGTTAAAACAAACCAAGCTTCATGAGCTGACAACAAACCATGGCTTCAGAACATGGTTAGTTGGTGGTAAGCAAACCATAGTTCCACAGAACTAAATTACCATCTCTGTTTCCGTTGAGACATGACAGGCACTCACTATCTGTCCTTTCTGGAAACAAATACATGTTTGGTTCATCCCTCTAGAAAAGTCTGTTGAAACAATCTCTATTTGAAGTATTGTTTTAAAAACGGTACAAATCTTCAGTTGTTTTTGTACTGTTTGAAAAATTATCGTTAGGTTTTTATGATGTGTCTGTCAATTGCCTTGAGACATATGTAAACATGATTAATTAATTAATAGTTAAGCTGCTGGGCAGAGTATGGATGATCAAACAAATCATAACTAAATCATAGATTCTTCATGGTTTAAAGTTATGTGCAAACCAAACCTATAATTAATATAAATAATGTTTATAAGACAAAATGGGGGAGGAAGGGAGCCTTGGCATTACTATTGGAACAAAGGATTTATAATTTGCTGAAAGCCTTGAGAGTACTCAAGAGTGATGTCAATATAGTTACTGGTTAATGTTTAAAGTACTACCTGGGAAATACATTGAAGTTCCCTCAATTTTCAAATGCATATTTTTTTCACATCTTTGCTAAAATATTTTCCTCAATCATACATAATTGCAACACAGAGAAACACAGGTATTAAGTAGTAGGAATGTAGGCCAGAAACAAAATGATATTGGCACTCTTCAACAAAGCAGAACAGCTCCTTTTTAAAATCAATGTTTTTTGCTTCTTCAATTCTCTACCAAGTGCTTTAAAAAGCTTAGGCAATAACTGATTGGCTTACTATTTGGCCTATTATTTGTTCTTTCAGTTCTTGGTTCATCAGCAATTGTTGGGCCTCTGCCTGAAGTTGAATGTAGTAGTGGAATAATATGCATATTGGCTACAGTCCAGTTCTATTTTCATTTTACAACATTATTTTAAGACTGTACTTGCACAGGCGCATGCGCTCAGTGAAGTTTACTGTCCTTTCCGATTTCCTGAGCCAGCTTGGTGCCATGCCTTTGTGATAGCTGGAAATATTTCCGTAAATAGTTCTATTTACTTTGACAGATTAATGTACAGTTTGATAACCTGTATTTTTCTCTTTGGTTCCTTCTTTAGATTGGTCAGGTGAAACAGGAACTGTCACGCAAAGACACAGAGCTGTTGGCCTTACAGACAAAATTGGAAACCCTCACAAACCAATTTTCCGATAGCAAGCAACACATTGATGTTCTCAAGGAGTCCCTCACAGCTAAAGAGCAGAGAGCTGCCATCCTGCAAACAGAGGTGAAGGGCACAATCTTGAATTATTGCTGTTTGTTAACTATAAGGGGGCCTTTTGAATTCAGGGATAAAATACAGAAATGTAATGCTATGGAGCTCTTGAACATGGTATGACAACTTTGCGCTGTTTAGAGAAGTCTAAGCCTGATTTCTATGTATCAGAAATCAGAGTGTGACAGTTAAGTTTTTGCACCTTAATTTCCACTGTAACAACTGGTGCATTAAAGAGGTAAGTTAATTCCCCTTCTTATAAGCGCATAGAAAACTTAATGTTCAAGGATATCTTCAGGCACTTAGCAAATATATTTCTTTTACTTAATAGAACTTAAGCATTGCAGAAAAGGACATAAATGAGGTTAATAGCATAATAAACTTTATAAATTGCTGCTACTACAATTCTCAAATATTGATTATTGATGCTGAACTGAGAAACCCCAATTAGTTCATAATTGTCTGAATCGGCAAGGCTAAAATTGGGCAGCAAATAAAAGGTTAGCTGGACCTCCCAAAATGAAAGGGCCTCAAAGGAAGGGACATTTACTCCCAATTTTTCCTTTCTAACCTTTCACAATTATCAAAGATTTCACCATTTTGAATACTGTGGTGTCATCCACAAACTTATGAAGTCCTGACTAGGTCATTTGTGAATACATAAGCCCACAATTTATGCACATTTAACTTGTGCACATTCAGCTTTACATGCTTAGAATTTTTTTAAATGGAAAGCGGGCAGGAATCCGGGGGGGGAAAGACTTTGGCAATCCCACCCACATTTGCACCCAATGTGTTTTGACTATACACAGTTTTGACTTTAGGCATGATCCCCAGAATATAACCCCAGCATAAGTTATAAGATTACTGTAAAAAAATCCCAAAATCCTGGTTCTGTTACAGCTCCTTGGAAAATCTCAGTTAGCTGCCACTCTCCCAATGTGCCCATTTCCTGTTCTTTAACTAAAATATGTCCTGTTATCAGACTTGATTAACTGAGTCCCCAGTAGACAAGGGTTTGCTAAGCACCTTCAGAGACTATTTTCAAATCCTGGTAGAAAGTTATAGTTACAAACAGAAGAGAAAAGCTAGCATTCCAGTGGCTTTTAGTTTGATTACATTATTGTTATCTGCTCGCATTGGTGCATTTGTATATACAGTGGTGCCTCGCAAGACGAAATTAATTCGTTCCGCAAGTTTTGTCGTCTTGCGAAGCACGGTTTCCCATAGGAATGCATTGAAAATCAATTAATGCGTTTCCTATGGAAACCGACTTCAGACCAGGTCCGGGGACAGTCTGTCCCCTGACCTCTTCTGAAGGCTGGGGGGGGGGACCAAGGGCTTTTCTTCCCACCCCCAGCATTTTAAAAAACCCCGGGACAGCGGGGGACTTCTCCGCTGTCCGGGGCGATCTTAAAATGCTGGCGGGCGGGAGCGAAGCCTCCGCTGCCGCCCGCCAGCATTTTAAAAAGCCCCGGGACAGCGGGGGACTTCTCCGCTGTCCCGGGGCGATTTAAAAGCCCCCGGGAAGGCAGGCAGGGGGGACAAAGACTTTTGCTCCCCGCCGGCCTTCAGAAGAGGTCCAGGACCTCTTCTGAAGGCGGGCGGGGTGCGAAAGTCTTTGCTCCCCCCCGCCTGCCTTCAAAAGCCGTCCGGGACAGCGGAGAAACACGCTGCGTTTCTCCGCTCTCCCGGGAAGGCAGGCAGGGGGGAGCAAAGACTTTCCCCCCCCGCCGGCCTTCAGAAGAGGTCCTGGACCTCTTCTGAAGGCCGGCGGGGTGCGAAAGTCTTTGCTCCCCCCCGCCTGCCTTCAAAAGCCGTCCGGGACAGCGGAGAAACGCGCTGCGTTTCTCCGCTCTCCCGGGAAGGCAGGCAGGGGGGAGCAAAGACTTTTCCCCCCCGCCGGCCTTCAGAAGAGGTCCTGGACCTCTTCTGAAGGCCGGCGGGGGGCGAAAGTCTTTGCTCCCCCCCCCCCGCCTGCCTTCAAAAGCCGTCTGGGATAGCGGAGAAACGAAGGCTGGCGGCAGGAGGAGGTCTCTCCGCCCGCCGCCAGCCTTCGGAGGAGGTCCGAGGACAGTGGGGAAGACGCGCTGCGCTTCCCCGCTGTCCCGGAGATTTCCCTATGGGCTTTCGTCTTGCGAAGGAAGCCCATAGGGAAATTCGTTTTGCGAAGCGCCTCCAAAACGGAAAACCCTTTCGTCTAGCGGGTTTTCCGTCTTGCGAGGCGTTCATCTTGCAGGGCACCACTGTATTTGTTATGCTTACAGCCTAAATGTATGTTCTGCAGACCATACTTTCTGAAAATGGCAGTCCTGTTCTATAGACCACACCTTCTGAAATGCATATATTTAAAGGTGTGATAACTTTTTAAAATGTTGAACTATGCAACTCCTTTTGTTCAATCACAATTAACATAGTCTGGAAGGTTTTCGAGTGTGAGCATATACTGTAGAGCTGTTCTGTATGAACAGGTAGTTTTATTGCTTCTATTTGGATAAATAAATATGTTAGCCATAAGAGGGCGCCAGTGTATTGGTTATTATGATACAGTACTTCACATTAGTTCCTAATGTTTATCAGAATGAACTAACTAGTCAATGGCAGATGTTTATATTAAGAGGAAGATGAAAAAGTATCGCATAATTTATATGAATATTTCAAGCTTCACCAGAAAGCCTTTTATTAGTGAGTATTTTCTTAACCATGCACAATAAAATTGGTGTTAACCTCATGCGCTGTATTAACAAAATTGTTGAGTGATATGGCTTCCTCAATAACTCTTCTATTTTGCATTTGTTACAGAAGAGTTGTTGAAAGTATAAACATTAGAGTGCTTCTATAAATTTTGTTTTATACCCTGTCTCAAAATATCATAATGCTTGCTTCATGTGGGATTAATTTGACTTGCAGTACTCAGTGCATTGCCCTTATAAATATTTGACTGACATAACACTCGGTAATACTACAATAGACTGTTCTACTGGATTACAATTTAGCATCCTTTTCTGGATTGCTTTGGAGAGAAGGCAGGACAATCTTTAGGCAAAGCTTTACTGCAGGAGTGAGGAACTGACAATCCACAGACCAGTCCTGTGCAGAAAAACCTTTCAGACCCAATTGTCAACCTCTGAGCTCTCCGCCACTCTTCTCAGCCAATGGCAGGCCATTGTCCTCTTCTAAAACAGCTGCTTGGACCAGTAGTAGATAAAGCAGGTTAGAAGCACCTGTCTGAACCTTCCCATTTCCCAGTGCTTACAGTGCTCCATCCACCTCACCTTTCAGGTACTGCTTAAAATGTTGGTTCAAAGGCTTCTCTCCTCTTGCCTTTCCCATTTCCCCAGTGAGACCAAAATGTACGATAAAAGTAGTAAGGACACCTGCAAAATGCAGTACAGTTATGAAACTTCTGTAAATGTGCTTGTTCAGTGTGCATCCTGTGTACTGAATTTCGTTTCTCTAAATTTAGTTGTGTGCACAGTGAAGACTGCAAATGTTTCTGCTTCTATTAGCCTAGTTTTGTTAATGAGCTGAATGTATCGCTTCAGTGTCAATAAAACTGTACCCTGAAAGTTAGAAGGAAGTTAGAGCAGAAGAAAAGAATCTAACCCAAAACACCATCTGACAGTATTAACAAATGCTCATGTTAAATCATTTAAAAGAATAATCCATGTATACATTCACTGAACATTTTTTTTAGTCTGAAATGCAATAACATTGTAGCAGGACACTTTTTTTTTTACTAGAGTGCATGACTAACAGATAGTATTAATAAGTGATGCCAAGGAAACCAAATGTATGTGGTGTGTGTGTGTGTGTGTGTGTGTGTGCGCGCGCAATATGCTGCTGAATGTGTTTAGTTTAATCAATCCACAAGCAAGCAAGCAAGCAAGCTCTAGATTTTGCCAAAAGTTCCAATTACTGTAAGGACTGGAGTGAATGAAAATCACAAAGTAGAAAGTAGAAGGTTCCCAATTTATAACACATTACCAGTAGACTGGTAGTTGGTATCAAATAGGAATTGTTTCCTAGTAGCCAAAACCCAGGGTTGACAGGTCTGGAGACTCAAAAAGGCCCAAAGAGCTGCTTTTGAGAAGTTATTTATTTTTTATATGGTTTTATATGTTCAGTAATAACCTGCCATGCAGCAGCTTTCTTATTTCTTATGCTACATAATAGAAAAGTCATCACAGAGGGCAGTCACATTTTTTTTCAAAATGAAAGAATTGAATGTCTGTTGAGCACACATACCTAGTCTATAAGCCTATTTAAATTGTTATAACAATAGCCATTCAGTGCATAGAACTGACCACAAGTCATACATGGTGGTATCCCAATCAATAATTTCATGGGGTCTGAAAATATAAAGAGGGGTCAGCTGTACCCATTGCTAAATGGTACCCCAGGGTCCTGCCACCTTGATCTTTATTTATAAAGCTGTTGTAGGAACATTAATGTTGGGAGTTAGGAGGGAGAAGCCTCACTCTTACCAGAATAACTCTCCAAATTCCAAGCTCTTTTAAAAATGATGTGCCTGTATCTTTCAGCCTTTTCTCTACAGTTATGCAGGCATGAAATATTTGTTTCCTTCGTTGAAAAGTGTAACATATTTGAGGCAACTGTTCCACTCTGATGCATGTTACAAATAACTGTGGGTTTTTTGTTTTTAGTAAAAGCATGAAGCTAGGGAGATACCACTCTTTTTAATTGTCCACAGACATGTTGATATAAGAAATTTGCTTTAAAACTGTTCAGTTATTTTAAAGATGTACCATGGAAACCTGGTACATCTATCTTCTCTATTTAAAGCATCTGAATCCAAGGCTTGGCAGTTGACATCTGTAATACTGGGTCTGAAATGCAAAATGACCTTGTTTATCCTAAGGGCAGGTAGGTGGAGAGGATGTTGAGGTTAGTTTCAATATGTAAAGGAATCTTTATAAATAGTTGTAGAAACTTAAAATATTTTTGTAAATAAAGCAAAATAAAAAGCAACATTTATTTTGGAATAAAAT